AAAAGTCTGAGACATTAAAATAGTTATTACACAAACTATGTATTAAATCACATATATATTACTTGTAAGAAAGCTCCTATTCTCCTCTCCTGACAACAATATCACACTTAATTAATAACAGAAATAGGATTAGAATTCAGATGTGCTGGCTACCATGAGTGAAATATTGAAGAAAAGCAGAGATTTTAATAGCACGAGGCAAGGAAATGTCATTCCAAATATTGGTTAAAGAAGAGAAAGGTAGATTGATGATAGATTGTAGAGATCTCTAAAGTCTAACAGATAATAAAGGTTTTGAAGCCAATAAAGGTTTGGTTTTGTTTGTTTTATTTTATTTTTTTTATTTCAAAGAGAGGAAGGAGAAGGAAAGAGAGATAGAAAGATTGTTGAGAAACATCAATGAAGAGAGAGAATTATTGTCTGTCTCCTGCACACCCCTTATTAGGAATCCAGCCCACAACCCAGGTATGTGACTGGGAATCCAATCCTTGACCTCCTGGTGCATGGCATGACGTTCAACCAACTGATACTTAGGGGTTGGACCCAATGAAGGTTTGTGAGTAGCAGAAAGACTAAACAGAAAGTTCAAACAATTTTCCCATATTCTAGACATGATCTAGTAAGAGACTGGACCAAACCTGGCCCAGGCCCTAGGGTTGGGGGCTCGATCCCAAGTGCGGGGGCTTGCAGGAGACAGTCAACCAATAATTCTCTCCCTTCACTGATGTTTCTAACTCTCTCTTTCTCTCTGAAATCAATAAAAATATATTTTTTAAAAGAAAACAAAAGTCTGTTACACATCATCTGTTGTTAGAGAATATTAATTTTATTGTTTTATAATAAATATTTGTAATAAAAATGTGGCTTCCTAGTTTTCCCACCAGGCCGTTTGCAGTTTTTGCACTTTGGACTGGCTGATCTGTATGCCCTCATCTGTCTCTAAAATTATAATGATTTGTCCAACAACTATAATTAGTTGTAATTAAAACAGTCTTCCACATAACTGTTTCAATGGCTAGATGTACAGTAATTTTGCACTATTAAACAGATACAGACATTTCAAAGAATACTCGGTATGTTAGGCACAGACAACCATTATCAAACGATTAAAAATTTGTCACATAACAATATGTACATACCATTAGATGATTATTTTGCCCACAGATGTATAATTAAGTCCTACTAAAGGATGAGGCACCAGTGGCTACCATAAATATTCATGTGAAGATGATTAAAGTAATATCATCTTACAGTACGTTGCCTAACTCAGATCTAAATAAATCAATACATAAATATTTAGAGAAAACCAAAAACCACGGGTAATCGTTTTCTTCCCAAGAAGCGATTTCACAGTGACCTACAGTTCATAATAGCTTTTTTGCTCTGTGCCTCAAGATCATCTATTTAGATAATCCCACCCCCTCTACCGGCAAACCCGCGGCATTCGCAGGGTCGGTTGCCAGGATGGGTTTTTTTCTCTCCATCTTTCTCAGGGCATCAGGTATCTGACCAAGGACATCATTTGGGCACCTGACCAGATGATCGGTGTTTCCACAAGCAGGATCCCTGCGTGCGGCTGGGTTCAGGGCCTTGTGTGTAAGATTTGTGCGCGGACCCCATCCCCCACCCCCACCCCCGCTCGTGCATTCCGCTGTTCGCCGTAAACCGCTCATTCACTGATGTTTTGTTTGTACCCATCGCTTGCCACTTAGTTTCTGAAGACATATGCGAATAATGACTTAAAAATGAGCACAGCAGAAGGCGGTCAGCAGGCCAGCACCTACAGGCTGTGAGCATTTGCCTCTAATGGAAGGGTCTCCACCTTAGAGAGAAATCACCCAAACCAGCCTCAGGCCCCGCGCGCGCTCGCGCGGTGGGACGCCCCGTTGGCCCCGAGAGGAAACCAGCGCCGCCAAACCCACTCTCTGCGGTTTCTGCCCCAGAGGAGATCGGGACCAGGAGGGAGGGCCCAAGGGCCGCGGACCCCGAGGGAACCGCCGGAGGCCGGCGAGGCCCCGGAGAGATCGCGTGCGTGCGGAGCGGGCGCCTCCCGCGGCGTCTGCACCTTGGGGCGTCGCCATGGAAACCAAGGGTTTAGAAGAGGCTGGGCCCGGGTGGTCCGCGGAGGGCGCGGCCGGTGCCGCCTGGGGTGAAGCGGACAAGGGAGGCGCACTCACCGCCACGCCGGAGTCTACTCGTCGCGCACGGCCGCGCGGAGGTCCGTCCCCGCGGCCCCCGTTCCCGCAGCCGCCGCCCGCGAACCCCGCGACGCCGCCCGGTCGCTCCCGCAGGCCGTGGCCCGTCCCCCCCGCAACCCCCCTCCCGCACCGCTGCGCGGAGGTGTCGGGCTTCGGTTGCGGGAGGCGGGAGATTTAAACCCGGCGGCGCCCCCGCGGGTGCCCCCGTTCGCTCCCTCTCGCTCCCGCCTAACCCGACGGCCCCACCTCGGGCTCTCAGTCGGTTCTCGGATAAACCCAGGACCCTCTCCGGCCTCTTTACTGAACCGGGTGAAATGACAAGTCAGAAGCCGGCAGAACTGAGAGTGAGACCTTGGAGCGGGTAAGTGGACGACGCCCTCGGCTTCCTCTTCTGAGCCCATAGCGCGGGCCCCCCAGCCCCCTCCCCGTCTCCCTAGGGCCCCCCTGCACCTGCCGGACACTCCGGGGGGCCCCCTCTCCACCGAGCGAGGCCATGCGCTGAGCCTTGCTCATTCCTGAGTCCTGGGAGCTTTCGGTACCCGCGCCAGCACGTGGGAAATGTTCACGTGCTGTATCGGTATTTAACTCTAAAGATTTAAAGGGGATTAAGTTAACAACGGTTAATAACTGATCTCGAATGCACATAATTTGTTGTCATAAATGTCTTCATGAGCAAAAAGTAAAATTTGAGCCTAAAAACCTCGAGGAAAATGGAAATAAGGCAAAAGAATTACGTTACTAATGGAAAATAATTTAAATTCAAAGTGACTCAAAAAAAATTATCAGCTGTCCTAATGTCACAAAATATGAATTACTTACAACTACGACGACATATAGGCTAGTAAGTGGAAAAAGCTTAGGTTTGAAGTGATAAGTCTATAATATCATGAGAGGTAAGATGGGGTGATATTGTAGAATATTACAAAGTACTTACCTTAAGAACCTGAAAAAAATGTAGTTTTAGAACAGAAAAAAGCGTAGGCTATTTATACTATAGAATTAATTTGGACTGAAAATACTAAGATGTCTTTAGATTAGGAATTTAAAAAAAAATAGGTATATTTTTCAGAGGGATAGGAACATCAATGAGAATCATTGATTGGCTGCCTCCTGCACGCCCCCTACTGGGGATAGAGCCCACAACCCTGGTATGTGCCCTTGATGGGAATCAAACCCTGAACGCTTCAGTCTGCAGGCTGCTCTATCCAGAGTCAAACCGGCTAGGCTAGGGCAAAATATTTTTAATAACACTGCCTGAAAGGCTCATTCAGAGACCACCCAGGACAGAAATATAAATTTATCCCTGTTCTCTGAAAATTAAAATATTTTCAGAAACTACAGATATAAAATTTACAGGTCTTCACTAGATGAGAAAAAAAAATGTAACTGGAGCTCTAGCTCTTGGTCCATATTATGGGGGTAGAGGGTGCATGCTGGAGTCCCTAAGGAATGTGGAACAAAAACCACCGCACTAGCCCTGGACAGCTACACACAAGAGAATTAAATTTACACCTGGTTTAATCCACTGTTAATCTGGCTCTCAACTACAGCCAGATGGGTAACTAGATTTATTGGTGTGATTACTTCTTAAGTTCTCTCTCTAATCACAGAATTATATACCTAAAACATATATTGTATGCCAACTCTAATTTAAAAATTAAAACAAGATTTTAAAAAAAGATATATTGTACCCTGGTTGGTGTGGCTCAGTTGGTTAGAGCATTGTCCTGTGCACTGAAGGGTCGTGGGTCTGATCCCCCGGCAGGGCACAAAGGGAGGCTTTTGATCGATGTTTCTCTTTCACATTGATGTTTCTCTCTCCCCCCTCTCCCTGTTTCCCTCTAGAATCAATGAAAAACATCTCTTTGGGTGAGGATTAAA